GTTGTGTGCAGATGTTACTCTCTTAGGTCCCCAGTTTCCATGTCTGTGAGATGGGGCTGGTGACACCCAGCGTGGTGGCAGTGGAGCCTGAAGGACACATGCTCTCGGCCCCAGTAGCTTGTCTGTGCAGTGGCATTTGGGGTCATTTGGGGTAGGGGCGCCTCTCTCCAAGTGGCTTCCTTTGATTTGTTTCATACTCTGGGCTTCTGTGCAAGATTGCAGGAGAAACGTTCTCTTTAAAGAAGGTGCGGCTGGGCGTGGTGTCTCACACCTATAATCCCAGCATTTTGGGAGGCTGAGGCGGCGGATCCTCTGAGGTCAGGAGTTTGAGACCAGTCTGGCCAACATGTCAAAACCCCGTCTTTACTAAATATACAAAAATGAGCCAGGCGTGGTGGTATGTGTGCCTGTAATCCTGGGTACTCAGGAGGCTGAGACAGGAGAATAGCCTGAACCTGGAAGGTGGAGGTTACAGTGAGCAGAGATGGTACCACTGCACTCCAGCCTGGGCGGCAGAGCAAAACTCTGTCTTGGAAAAAAAAAGAAGGTTCAAAAACCGCTGCATTAGGCCTGCTTTGGAGGGGCCATGTGGGTGCTGCAGAGGGGCCTGGCGTTGTGTCAGGGAAAGGTCGCCTCTTCCTACAAACTATCCAGTCATGGGCCAGGAGTCTTCCAAAGGAGGGAACAGGGCTGGGGTTCAGATGGTGGGAAGGTGACGGTGGTGGGGGGGCAGGGGGTGGGGGGAGGGGAGAATGCTGGTCACTGTGGGTTTGAGAATGAGGTGAGGGAAGTCAGTGGCCGTGCATAGAACGAAGGTGGCTCGTCATGGTCACCTCACTCCGGCCGTGTGTGCCAGGGACCGTGGCGGTCTCTCCCCAGCCCAGGGAGGCGGCTGATTCACCCACCAACACCCTCAGCTTGTCCATGAAAACAAGAAGTCTGTGAAGAGTTAGACTCACCGCCATGTGGAGGGGTACACAAGACCACCTACCCTTCTGCCGCCAGCTGCAAGTTTGGGGGTTCCCCAAAACACCCTCATGTTTGCTCATTTGCTGAAAGGACTCACAGAACTCACTGGAGGCTTTGATTCTTGGTTATGGCTCATTCCAGGGAAGGGACCAGATCAAACAGGAAAGGGAAGGTGCTCACGGGGCAGATCCCAGGAGGCCCCAGGCACAGGCTCATGCCAGCCCTCCCCATGGAGCTGTGGACAGCGCCCACTCTTCCCGCCGATGACGATGGTGCATGATGGCACAGAGCATCGCCAGGCGGGAAGCCCCTGGCCTCAGTGGCTACAGTTCTTAAGGGGCATTATGGGCTGAACTATGTCTCCCAAAAATTCCTAAGTAATCCTCCTGGCCTCCAGGGCCTCGGAATGTGACCTTGTTGGGAGTAGTGTCTTTGCTAAGACGAGGTCATTTCAGTAGTGTGAGCTCCTAATACAAAAGGACGGGTGTCCTTATCGAAAGGGGAAACCTGGGCTGGGCTTGGTGGCTCATGCTTATAATTTCAGCACTTTGGGAGGCCGAGGCAGGCGGATCACCTGACGTCAGGAGTTCGAGACCAGCCTGGCCAACACAGTGAAACCCTGTCTCTACTAAAAATGTAAAAATTAGCTGGGCGTGGTGGCACATGCCTGTAATCACACCTACTCGGGAGGCTGAGGCAGGAGAATTGCTTGAACCCAAGAGGTGGAGGTTGCAGTGAGCCAAGATCATCCCGCTGTACTCCAGCCTGGGCGACAGAGTGAGATCCATCTAAAAAATGAAAAGGAGAAATCTGGACAGAGACAGGACACGGAGAAACAGTGTTGAGGTGAGAGGCAGAGATGGGCGATGCTTCTACAAGCCTAGGAACGCCACATTGTCAGCAGCCACCAGAAGCCGGGACAGGGCCTGGAACAGCCTCCCTTGCAGCCTCCAGAGGCTCCAGTCCTGCCGACACCCAGATCTGGAACTTCTGGCCTCCAGATCTGTCAGACAATGAATGTCCGTTGTTCCAGCCCCCCAGTTGATGGTGCTTTGCTGTGGCAACCCCAGGAGACGAAGGCACCTCTGGAGGCTGATTGATTGCTCACTGGGAGCTCAGGCTGCAGGCTGCCGTCTCTCTGGGCATGACCCAGGGCCCCCACCATCAATCACATCTTTGGACGCCCAGTGTAACCAAGGCCCCTGGCAAACAAAGACTCTCCTATCAGGCAGAATACTCCAAGGGCTGAGAGAGCACCTCCCAGAAACTGCGGACAGATATCAGACCTCTTTTTAGGCAAGGTTAAATTCTTTTTCTTTTATTTTTTCTTTTTTGAGATGGAGTTTCGCTCTCATCACCCAGGCTGGGGTGCAGTGGCACGATCTCGGCTCACTGCAACCTCTGTCTCCCGGGTTCAAGTGATTCTCCTGCCTCAGCCCACCCAGTAGCTGGGATTACAGCCACCCACCACCGTGCCCAGCTAATTTTTTGTATTTTTAGTAGAGATGGGGTTTCACCATTTTGGCCAGGCTGGTCTTGAACTCCTGATTTCAGAGGATCCACCCGCCTCGGCCTCCCAAAGTGCTGGGATGACAGGCGTGAGACACCATCCTGGGCCAGATTCTTTACTACGCAAAGGGCCCAGAGAGGAGGTGCAGTGCACCCAAGGTCACACAGGTGGTGGCCTGATTCCAAAGTCAGTGTGCCTGCTGTCTTCAGTTTTTCTGAGCCTACAGCCTTGGTCAAGGGGCAGGTGAACCAAGAGTTTGGCCTGAATGGCATGGCTTCAGGTCCCCTAGGTGCACATGCTTTTTGTGGATTCAAACAGACTGTCCCGGACAGCCCAGGGGTAACCTGCCCCTCAGAGGAACACCCTTTTGGTGAACAAAGGTAGCCCTGAGAAGCCCCCTTTGATTTCCCCACAGCCAGGTATGAGATTCCCACTATGCACCTGCCATCCCTTCCTCCCAAGGTCGGGGAAAGATTTGCTGACTCTGTCAGTAATCTATCACTGCTTAACAAGCTATGCCAAAACTTTGCAGCTTCAACATCAAACTTATATTGTCTCAGAGTTTCTGTGGGTCAGGAATTGAGGAGTGGCTTAGCTGCACGGTTCTGGCTCAGGGTCAATCATGATGTTACATCAGGATGTCAGCCAGGGCTGTAGTCTCATCTGACGGCTGGACTGTGGCTGGAGGCTCCGCTGCTGAGGCGGCTCCCTCATGGCTGTTGGCTAGAGGTCTTAATTCCTCACCCACATGGGCTTCTGCATAGGCCGCTTGAGCATCCTCATAACGTGGCGGCTGGCTTCCCCAAGAGCAAGTGGTCTAAGAGAGAGCAAGAAGGAAGCTGCAGTGTCTTGTGTACCATCACCTTGGAAGTCACGCACCATCATGTCTGTCCTATTTTGTTTCTTGGAAGCAAGTCACTAAGTTCATGTTACACTCCACCTCTTGGGGCCGTATTTTAGAACCCCCACACTGACCCTACAATGGTCACTTAGGAACATTGTCCTGATGGTGGTCAAGGGAGAACATCAGGAAAAATAGGTCCCCCCCAACCCCTTATTACTCAGCGCCTGTCAGTCAGGGACTCTAATGCTTGAGCTAATTTAATCCTAGCCTGGCACTGTTTGGGGCAAAACCAAGGTGATGGGGTATAGAGACAAAGATTGTAACACGTGGCTTAATGGTGCCTGATGGTTTTGGTTGCATTTAAATTTTATTTTATTATTTTTTTTTTTGAGATGGAGTCTCACTCCGTCACCAGGCTGGAGTGCACTGGTGTGATCTCAGCTCAGTACAACCTCTGCCTCCCCGTTCAAGCGATTCTCCTGCCTCAGCCTCCCGAGTAGCTGGGACTACAGGTGTCCACCAACATGCCTGGCTAATTTTTGGATTTTTAGTAGAGATGGTGTTTCACCATGTTGGCCAGGATGTTCTCAATCTCTTGACCTCGCGATCCACCCACCCTGGCCTCCCAAAGTGCTGGGATTACAGGTGTGAGCCACTTCGCCTGCCCCCCCTTTTTTTTAAATTAAGACAGAGTCTCACTCTGTCACCTAGGCTGAGGTGAGCAATCTCAGCTCACTGCAACCTCTGCCTCCCGGGTTCAAGCGATTCTCTTCCTGCTTCAGCCTCCCGAGTAGCTGGGACTACAGACAGGTGTGCACCACCACACCCGGCTAATTTTTGTGTTTTTCGTAGAGGCTGGACTTCACCATGTTGGTGAAGCCGGTCTCCTACTCCTGACCTGGGTGATCCACCCAGCTCGGCCTCCCAAAGTGCTGGATTACAGGTGTGAACCACCACTCCTGGCCAGCATTTAGAATGTAAAGCACTCCTACTTACTCTGTCATGAGCATGTCCTAGGCTCAAGGGAAACACAGGTGAATGAAATAGTGACTATCCTCCTGGTGTTCATAGCAAAGAGCGACAGAAATGAAAAAAAAAAAAAAAACAAAGTAATTCATTGATGAATGAGTGAGTGCGGATGCGCGAAAGAGGGAGCCGCAGATCTGCTGGGATGCCTTTCCCAAGGAAGAGCCTGTTGCACTGGGCTTTGAAGGATAAGTAGGAGCTTAGCTTGTTACTCTGGCAGAGAAAGAAAGAGCGTCCCAGGCCAGGGGAACAGAATATGCAAAGGCACGAAGGGGCCCAGGGAGCCCGGGGAGTCAGGGGAAGTATGAGAGCTTTGGAGTGTAGGGGCTGGTGGCCAGGAGTGAGGCTGGAACTGGCTGGGCCACATGGCGAAGGCCGAAAACTGGCCCCAGTGGCTGACTAGCCTGTGAGCAGCATTTCCCAAAATCTGTTTCCCAACTCATGGTTCTGTGAGATGTGATGGGGGCTCAGTTAGCATTTCTGAGACTCGGGTTTTCATCTGTGAGGCAGGGACAGCGGCGCCCTTTGCTGTGAGGCGTCGGGACTCAAGTGATGGTGAATGGGGGGGCAGCCCACGGTTCCCGGCGGCCACTGATCCTGTCTCTCTGTCGTGTGTGTACGTGCATGTGTGCTCCACGCCTGGCTTCTCAGGCTTTAAAATGTGTGTCAGCAGCAGCAGCAGCAGCCATGACGAGGCCCCCGTCCTGAACGACAAGAACCTGGACGTGCCCGACATCATCATCACGCCCCCCACCCCCACAGGCATGATGCTGCCCAGGGACTCGGAGAACTCAGGTGAGGCCGCCCCCTGTGCCATCAAGCCGGGTCGGGTCTGGGGGCCCGGCAGAGACAGCTCTCAGGGACGTGTTTCTGGGCCACGGGGCTGAGCCTGCACCCTCACCTCCCCCGGGTTCATTAACCATTTACGGTCAGACCTGTGTACACTGCACCGTGAGCCCCCCATGAAGGCGCCAGCCTCAGCACAATGTGGTGTGTTAAGTAATTAGTAGACAGCCCCTGCCAGCCAATTGATGGATGGAGCCAGGCTGGCCCGCCACGCCTCAGCTCCTGCCAGCCAAGGTAATTGATGGATGCTCCTTCCCCTGCCAGCGGGAGGACCACTGCTCCATCTTGTTGGCCGCTGCCATCTGGCTGGACAGGACAGACTTGGAAACACAGCCCATGCCCATGCCAGGGCTGGGGCTGGACCCTGGGCCTTCCAGATGCAGCTCACTGCTGGGAATGGGGAGGAAGTGGAGTTCTTCCCAGTGAGAGGGTGAGGAGGTGGGAGACAGAGCCCCAAATCGGCACTCCACCTGCCCCTCTGGAGCTAGTGGGACTTGTTGACGTGGTCATTGAGGAGAGATTTATTGAGCTGGGCCTATGCCAGGTGTTAAGGCTGCTGCTGTGAATAGGAATAGCAACAATGGTGATACCAGCTCACGGTAGGTAGCGCTGTACTGAGCGTAATGAATGGATTTTCTTTTTTGTTTGTTTGTTTGAGACAGAGTCTGACCCTGTCACCCAGGCTGGACTGCAGTGATGCTGTCTCGGCTCACTGCAGCTTCCAGCCTCCACCTCCTGGGTTCAGGCGATTCTCTTGTCTCAGCCTCCCCAGTAGCTAAGATGGCAGACATGTGCCACCATGCCCAGCTAAGTTTTTTGTATTTTCAGTAGAGTCAGGGGTTTCTCCATGTCGGTCAGGCTGGTCTCCAACTCCCGGCCTCAGGTGATTCACTTGCCTCAGCCTCCCAAACTGCTGGGATTACAGGCATGAGCCACTGTGCCTGGGCTATTTTTATTTATTTTTTGAGATGGAGTTTGGGTCTGTTGCCCAGGCTGAAGTGCAGTGGCGTGGTCTTGGCTCACTGCAACTTCCGCCTCCCGTGTTCAAGTGATTCTCCTGCCTCAGCCTCCTGAGTAGCTGGGATTACAGGCACCCACCACCATGCCTGGCCAATTTTTGTATTTTAGTAGAAATGGGGTTTCACCATGTTGGCCGGGCTGGTCTCAAACTCCTGACCTGAGGTGATCCACCCACCTGGGCTTCGCAAAGTGCTGGGATTACAGGCGTGAGCCGCTGTGCCCAGCCACACCCCCCTTTTAGAAATGGGTAAACTGAGGCTCTGAGAGGTTGAGACACTTGCCATACCGCTGGTCGGTGGTGCAGCAGGGATGCAGCCCCAGGCTATGTGATCTGTGCTTTGCCCCACGGCCCCCAGACCAGATGCTCTCCCCAAAAGTGGCACCAATCAGCTGATAGCCATTGGGACGTGGCTCCTGCTGGACCCGTGCAGGGCACAAGGCACCCATGAGGCTTGTGTGGGGTGTGTGGAAGGCTGTCTGGGAGGGGGACTCCATAGACCCTTCCAGATGTTCTGAGTTTGGGTCTCCGCTTGCCCAGCGGAGCGAGTGACTGGGAGAAAGCTGTCAGGGCCCCTGGGCAGGGCCAGTGCAGGTGCTGTGGTGGCTGCAGTGGGGCACATTCCTCGGTGACCTTTCCGAGTGCATGGCACTGGCTAAATGCTTTTCATAAATATCATTGAATTCTCATTCCAACCGTGAGGTTGTGAGGACCACCCTTATCTCTAGTATAGAAATGGGGAAACAAGCCAGGCTCCATGATTCACGCCTATAATCCCAGCACTTTGGGAGGTCGAGGCGGGCAGATCACCTGAGGTCGGGAGTTCAAGAGCAGCCTAACCAACATGGAGAAACCCTGTCTCTACTGAAAATACAAAACATTAGCCAGGTGTGCTGGTGGGCACCTGCAATCCCAGCTACTCTGGAGGCTGAGGCAGGAGAATCGCTTGAACACAGGAGGTGGAGGTTACAGTGAGCCGAGATGGCACCACTGCACTCCAGCCTGGGCAACAAGAGTGAAAACCCATCTCAAAAAAAGGAAAAGAAATGGGGAAACAAACAGGTCCAGAGAGGGACAGTGCCCCACCCAGGGGCACACAGCATGGTGGGAGAAGAGCTGGGCTCCTGCTGCAGTTCTCCTCCTGCACCGCAGTGGTGTCTAATCAGAGAGCCAAGTGTAGGGGGACAGAGGCCCAGTCCTTAGCTCAGCTGCCACGGTCCCTTCCCTCTCTGAGCCTGTGTCCTCACCTATAAAGTGGGATCATACCGTCTTCCCTGCTCCCAGGACCAGTGTGGGCACAGCAGAGACACAGGGTTACTCTCTAAGGTCCAAGCCCCAGGGAGGTTCCTGAACCCTGAGAGGGGGTTCTCTTAAATTTAAGCATCTCCAGGGTCTGATTCACCCAGAAGGATCCACCACCACTGGGTCCCGTCTCAGCCTCTGGCAGCACCAGAAAACAAGAACGCCCAGAGGCCCCTGCCCTGCAGCTCCCAGGGAAGTGGGCCTGGGTGTGGTGGGGGCAGGGTGCATCCAGGTATCCATCCCTCTTTCTCCTAGTCTGGCTGGATGAGACAGGGTCATGCCCGGATGATGGCGAAATCGACCCAGAAGCCTGAGGCGGTGTCATCGAATTGTCTGGTGGACTCTTGCTCCAGCGTCCTGGCTTCAGGTGTCCGGGGGTGTGGCTGCCTGGGGAAGGTGGGCTGAGCACCCTGGATGGAACAGAGCAAATCCTGGCTGCCGCTCAGAAAGACGTGCCAGGACCAGCGAGGAATCCGGCCTGCCTGCTTCCACAACAGGGTTTCCCAGGCCCCGCTGAGTGGACGCACCTCTGACGCCTCCAGGCTCTTGCCGACTCTGGCCCGGTAAGAGAGAGTGCCATGGTCCTGGCTGTCGGGGTCCCAGGGAAAAGTTTTTTTCTGGACGAACACACCCTCCCAGTCCCCTGGGCCGGGCAAACATGGGCCTCTGCCATCAACACAAACAAGAACTTCTTGCAGGTGGAGTGGCTGTTTTTTATGTGTTATTTTACAGATATGGAAACAGTCCAAAAGGGGATTTATAATTTCTTTTTTGCATTATAAATAAAGATCCTCTGTAACAAATGGTGAATCCTTTTTTTTTTTTTTTTTTTTTTTCATGGACTTTCCCTCTTGTCTCCCAGGCTGGAGTGCAGTGGCCTGAACTCGGCTCATCGCAATGTCTGCCTCCCGGGGTTCATGTGATTGTTTTGCCTAAGCCCCCTCAGTAGCTGGAATTACAGGCAGGAGCCACCACACCCAGCTTATTTTTGCATTTTTAGTAGAGACGGGGTTTCACCATGTTGGCCAGGCTAGTCTCGAACTGCTGACCTCAGGTGATCCGCCCACCTCAGCCTCCCAAAGTGCTGGGATTACAGGTGTGAGCCACCGCGCCTGGCCTCAAACAGTGAATCCTGCTTCTTGGGTCAGGAGGAGGCGACAGAGCACACGAGGTAGAGCGTGGGTTTAAGAGAGACACGTAACACGGAAGAGCCAGTCTGGTGTACGGGCTGCTGTGGAGGTCTTGAGCCCCTTCCTTTTTATCCTGCGTGGAGGCTTCAGCATGGCCCAGGCCTGGGCTCTGAGGTCGCATGGAGCTCGTTTGAGTCCCAGCTGTAGGATCCTGGTAATAACACATCTCTAGGGTGAGAGGCAATATTGTGTTCGTTTTTTTTTAATAACATCACATTAGTGCCAGGTGCGGTGGCTCACTCTTGTAATCCCAGCACTTCGGAAGCTGAGGCAGGAGGAGCTTGAGGCCAGGCGTTCAAGACAAGCCTGGGCAACAAACGAGGCCCTGTCTCCATCAATCCAAGTAAATACATAGTGTTCCCGCTTCCCATAGAGCACTCTGACATTGCTGTGCATGTGTGTGTCGTGTGTGTGTGCATGAGTGGGTGTGTGCATGTGTGTGTGCACGTGTATGCATGTGTACGTGTGTGGCTGTACATGTATGTTTGCATGTGTTGCGTGTGCATGTGTGTGCATGTATGATGTGTGTATATAGGTGCAGGTGTGTATATGTGGGTGTGTGTGCAAGTATGTATGTGTGGTGTGTGTGCATCTGTGTGTGTGTATATATGTATGTGTGATGTGTGTATGCATCTGTATGTGGGCGTGTGTGTAGGTCTGTGTGCATGTGTGATTGTGTGTGTCTGTGTGTGCATGAGTGTGGGTGTGTGTGCATGCAAGTGTGTGTGATGTGTGTATGCATCTGTGTATGTGAGAGTGGGTGTGTACATGTGTGGTGTGTGTGTGTGTGTCCGTGTGTGTATGCATGAGTTTGTGTGTGTCTGTGGGGGTGTGTGCATGTGTGTGTATGTGGGTGCCTGTGTATGTGCATGTGTGCATGTGTTTGTGTGGCGTGTATTCATTTTCTGTGGCGTCTCCTGAGTTTGGTTTTTCTTGTGTCTCAGGGTCCCCAGAGCAAGGCCTGAGCCGAGGCTTTGGGCATAAGGGGTAGATTTGGAGGCGGTCCCAGGACACACAGGTAGGGGAGTTGGGAAGGGCAGTTCAGGGGTCCCCAAGACCACCCCCAGGTCTAATCATCCACCGGAAGAACTGAGAAAAGCCGTGTGCATCTTGGTGATGGCTTATGATGGCAAGTAGATACAGGTTAAAATCAGCAGAGAGCAGGAGACCCCAGGATAGGACAGGCGCAGGCTCCCGGCCATCCTCTGACCGCCGAGTTGCAGAGAGCGGGCAAGTGGTAACTTCTGACCACGATGTGGGACCACACGCACAGAGCATCGCCAACCAGGGACACCTCGAACCTCAGTGTCCAGAGGCTTCATCAGGGCTCAGCCAACACTCTGCTGTTGCTCCTTGAAATTCTCAATCAGGGTCCAGCATGGTGGCTCATGCCTGCAATTCCAGGGCTTTGGGAGGCCAGGGTGGGTGGATCACTTGAGCCCATGAGTTCAAGAGCAGTCTGGGCAACACAGAGTCCCATCTCTTCTAAACTTTTTTTTTTCTGAGAACCTCGCTCTGTCACCAGGCTGGAGTGCAATGGTGTTGTCCTGGCTCACTGTAGCCTCTGCCTCCTGGGTTCAAGTGATTCTCCTGCCTCAGCCTTCCAAGTAGCTGTGATTACAGGCACATGCCACTACACATGACTAATTTTTGTTTTTTGATGTGGCGGTGGCATTACAGCCATCTGAGGGCCTCTGCCTACCATCCCCCTCAGCCCATCCTCCTTAGAGGTTCACACATGCTGGAGGAACCGGTCCACACCCTGGGAAATGGGAAATCTTTTTCGCAGCCTGGCAGTGGCATTGCAGCTGCTAAGCCACCACCCCATCCTGCCTCAGTGTTTTTGTTTGTTTTTGTTTCTGAGATGGCATCTCACTCTGTCACCCAGGCTGGAGTGCAGTGGCACAATCTCCGCTGACTGCAGCCTCCGCCTCCTGGGTTCAAGCGATCCTCCTGCCTCAGCCTCCAAGTAGCTAGGTTACAGGCGCTCCCCTCCCCACCACACCCAACTAATTTTTGTATTTTTAGTAGAGAAAGCGTTTCACCATGTTGGCCAGCCCAGTTTGAACTCCTGATCTCAAGCAATCTGTCCGCCTCGGCCTCCCAAAGCGCTGGTGTGACCTGCTGCACTGCCTCCCGTTTTTAAACTTCTGTATTAAGGTATTACCCGTACAATTAAGTATACCCCAACAACAGCATGCAGTCGGGTGTGTGTGCGTGTCCACCATGAAAGCACCTCCCTGATCGAGAGAGGACGTCGCTGTGACCCTGGCCACAGGCTTCCCTGGGCCCTTGGAGAGGTCATTGCTGTCCCCATCCCTGGCCATGGGTTCCTCTGTGCTGTTCTCGCCCTTCATGTACGTGGAATCTTCTTACGGTGGACCGCCTTTAGCTGAGTAACTGTTGTAGTCTGTTCCTGCTGCCACAGAAATACCTTAGGCTGGGTAATTTATAGACAATAAACTGTATGGCTCACAGTCTTGGAGGCAAGGAGTCCAGAAGCAAGGTGTCAGCAGATGTGGAGTCAAGTGAGGGCCTGTTTTCTGCCTGAAAAGAGGGTGCTTTTGTACCACGTCCTTGCCCGGTGGAAGGGGTGAGGCAGCTCACCTTACTTTCCACCGTCCTGACTTAATCACCCTTCTCAAGGCCTCAGCTCTTAATTCTGTCTCACTGGGGCTGGGCACTGTAACTCACACCTGTAGACCCAGCACTTTGGGAGGTGGAAGCAGGAGGCTCACTTGAACTCAGGAGGCGGTCGAGACCAGCCTGGGCAACACGACGAAACCCCGTCCCTACCAAAAACATAAAAAATTAGCCAGGTGTGGTGGCACGAACCTGTAATCCCAGCTACTGAGGAGGCTGAGGCAGGAGAATCACTTGAACCCAAGAGGCAGAGATTACAGTGAGTCGAAATCATGCCACTGCACTCCAGCCTGGGCGACAGAGTGAGACTCTAGAAAGGAGAGAGAGAGAGAGAGACAGATAGACCAGAGAGAGCGAGAGAGAGAGAGAGAGAGAGAGAGAGAGCAGCTGAGAAGTGTATGTCATCTGGGGCTAGAAGATCCACTTCCAAGATGGCACATCCACATGGTGAAGCACCTGCCATGTGGCTGCCAACCTGGGTCTGGGCTCTTGTTTTTCTCCGCAAGAACTTCTCCCTGGGCAGCTTGGGCTTCCTCACAGCATGGCAGCCGACATCCAAGTAAGAACATCTCCAGACAACCAGGTAGAAGCTGTATCGCCTGTGAAGACCCAGTCTCTGAAGTCACATCACATCCCTTCTGCGGTAGTCATGGGCATCCTAGATTAAAAAGGAGGGAACATAGGCACCACCTCCTGATGGGAACAATGTCAAAGGCATAAATAGAGCACAGGTTGAGTGAGGTGGCTTCTGCCTGTAATCCCAGTGCTTTGGGAAGCCCAGGGAGGAGGATCACTTGAGGCCAGGAGTTTGAGACCAGCCTGGGCAATGTAGTGAGATCCTGTCATTACCAAGATAAAAAATAAGCCAGGTGTGGTGGCTCATGCATGTAATCCTGGCACTTTGGGAGGCTGAGGTGGGCGGATCACCTGAGGTCAGGAATTAGAGGCCAGCCTGACCCACATGGAGAAACCCTGTCTCTCCTTAAAATACAAAATTAGCCAGGCATGGTGGTGCATGCCTGTAACCCCAGCTACTCAGAAGGCTGAGGCAGGAGAATTGCTTGAACCCTGGAGGTGGAGGTTGCAATGAGCCAAGATTGCATCATTGCACTGCAGCCTGGGCAACAAGAGCAAAACTGCATCTCAAAAAAAGAAAAGAAAAGAAAAATACAAATAAACTCGGTGTGGTAGTGTGCACCGGTAGTCCCAGCAGCCGGAGGCGGCGGTAAGCTGTGATCACACCGCTGCACTCCAGCCTGAGTTACAGAGCATTAAGACCGTGTCTCTAAAAAAAAAGGGGAGGAGGAGGAGGATGGGGAGGAGGAAAGAAGAAGAAGAACAAGAAAAAGAAGAAGAAGAAAAGAGAAGAACAAGAGGAAGAAGAAGGAAAGGAGGAGGAGGAAGAGAAAAAAGAAGGCGGAGGAGGAAGAGAAGGGGGAGGAGGAGGAGGAGAAAATGTGGGATGGGAGATGTTGTGGCCCCATTTGGAATCACAACCTGCCACCGGTTCAGGCAGTTCTTGTCCCTGGAATGCCTTTGCCCCTAGTCCCAGTATCTCTGCAAGATCCAGTTCCATAGAAGCCTGGTGCCCCTCTGTGCCAGGCCCTGCCAGCAGGAAGCCTTGCTGCCCTCCAGCTCCCACTGCAGGTGTTCCCTCCCTCCCCTGTGAGCAGGATGCCCTTCCGGTGTTTCTCAGTCACTAATGTTCAGGAAATCACAGGAACAGGTGCCTTGTCCCTGGGGCTGAGGGCCTAAGGTTCAGCAAGTCGCCAACATCCCAGTAACCCCTGCCACTGGCTCTAATAAATAAATTTTGCAAAGGTACTGACTTAGTCTCACTCTTTGGTGTATTCCCAGCACACCTCTATCATAGGTGCTAATGTATTTATTTAGTTTTTGGTTTTTGTTTTGTTTTGTGTTTTGGAAACAAGGTCTTACTGTCACCCAGGCTGAAGTGCAGTAGTGTGATCAAAC